CTCAAAGTGTACAACTGCTTAAACACTGTGGAATTTGTTCCAGGTAAATTTTACTTACTTATTTTCTTTTTCTTATAGTGCTGGGGCCCTCTCACTTATGGTGGACAAGTGCTTTACCACTGAGATACACCCCCAGCTCAAAATTATACTGTCTTGTTCACAGAAATCCCAGCATTCACCCTGAAGTCATCTTCAAAAGCTGTTTTAAGATCAAAAGAAATAATCCCAGTGGCAGAAAATGGAGATGAGGTACTAATCAGAAATGCTGTATAAAGGATGTTCATTCCAACAGAGTAGGATTTATCTGTTTTCCTCTGGAAGCATCTGAGCCACATTTCAGCTTAGGAAAGACCTTGATGACTTTTCATAAAGTGCTCTTTGTGAACCCACTTACATAATAAAAAGGATTCAGTCAGCAGTTTTCAGAAGCTGTAGAAATGAAAGCAAACACAGTGTTTCAGTTATTTTAGGAGTGATAACCATCATTGATGAGGTTTTTGGAGAAATTACTACGATGTTTGGAAACACAATGTTGATATGAGATGGTTTGCTCTCCTGAAGGCCTGAGACCTCCTTCATTTTGAATTAGCAATATTTTACAGTGTAGAAATTATTCTTACGACAGCTTGTAATGTGGCTTAGAGGTAGAAAAATTACCTAGCATGTGGAAAGTGCTGGGTCCAGTTCCTAGGATCATTCAAAACAAATCTCAACTCCAAAAGAACCTTCTGTTTTACAAAGATTGAATCTGGAGGCCAGGAGATGACTCAGTTATTAAAGTGCACTACAAAGTCAAGACCTGAGTTTGGTCCTATAACCAATGTTTAAAAATTAAATAGGCCAAGGTAGGTGGCACTCACTTTTAATCCCAGAGCTGGAAAGACAGAAACAAGTGGACCCCTGGAGTTTGCTGTCTAGACACAGTAGCATGTGAGATTGTCCTCTGACCTCCCTATGTGTGCATACACTGACAGATGTACCAGTATATACTGACAGATGTACCAGCACATACACACAAAACATTAATCTAGCTTCATTTTCTTGAAATAACCTTTCATTGCTTTGATGAAGGATTGAAGAATAAGAAGTAGATTTGTATACCTGAGCTTGACCACTTTTGTCTGTACTCACCAAATATTCTCGATGAACTTTCTTGTAAATGTGTTTGTAGGGTTTTGATTCACTCGAACACCTGCCACCTCTCCCAGAGCCACCACCACTACTCCCTGAAATGGCAGACAAAATCCAAGACACTCTTCCTCCCCAAAAACCTGAGCTGAGAGTGAAGCGGGTGTTGAGACCCCCAGGCATTGCCCTGAGTTGGAACATCCCCAGCATCAACCCCAAGTGTGCTCCTGTGGAGAGCTACCACCTCTTCCTGTGCTACGAGAACACTCATCATTTGACTTGGAAGAAAATTGCAGAAATTAAAGCGTTACCACTCCCAATGGCCTGCACTTTATCTCAGTTTCTAGCTTCCAACAAATACTATTTTACTGTTCAGTCAAAAGACATTTTTGGGCGTTATGGACCATTTTGTAATATAAAATCTATTCCTGGGTTTTCTGAAAACCTTACCTAAAAGTCCTCCCTGATTATATGTTGTGTATATGTCATGTTTTCTATTTGAATGTATTCTTTACAGTGTTTCTCTAACATTTTACATTGTAACATTATACAGTTCAGTTTGTAAATCCTCTGTATGGTGACAATCTTACATGTATTGTGTCTTGGAATTTTGTGTATTTCTAATTTGCATTCAGTATATACTTCTGTTATCTAAGTTCTTACACATACTCTATCATGGACTCATGATGTCGCTGTGTATTCCTATGGTGACTCTGGAATTGCTGCTGTGTCAGAAGGCCTCATGCACAAGCAGCCACTTTCCCCATCTTGACAATCGGCTATATTCCTGGGAGAGGCATCCCTGCCATGATCTAGTGCACAGAAATTCCTTCCTGGTGTTTTCATTCTAAAGCAGGCTATTTGTGCCCCTTTGTCTTTGTTTTTGTTTGGCTAGCAATCATTTGAGAGAAACAGCTTGGAGGTTTTTCCTAAACACTAGTTTGTAAGATCAGGCATTAAGGGACATGCCTCTAATCCCAGCACTTGGGAATCAAAGGCAGGCAGATCTCTTAGTGCAAGTCAGCCTGGTGTGCATGAAATTTCCAGTCCAAGCGCTATATAACAGACTGCTTCAAAAACTTTTTGTTGTTAAACATTGTATGTTATGTACATGGAAACACATGGTGCTTATTAAAAAAAATTCAATCTGCTGTTTCAACCATGTAGTTCATCCTTCAGAAAGGCTTTAATTTGCTGACTCCTAATTTCTCTAAATGCCTCCCTTTGCCAACTTTCCAGCTGCCCTCAGTACTCAGAAGGCATGCTTAAAGGCTCCAATGGGAGGATCTTCTGTATACCTTTCCCCAAAGGACTGCAGTGGGGCACAAACAGCCCAAGAGTTGGTATGTAAAGAGATACTTGAGATGCTGGAGTCACCACCCAAGAAAGACAAGCTAGGCAGCCAGTGACTGGGATGCCAAAATGATAATAATCCTGCAGCATGGTTTAAAAGTGTCACTTTTCTGGTGCACAGTGGAAGTTCTGAGGTGTGAACAGAGAACAGTTTCCCTTGGTATTTGGAGAGTGCCTCTACATCTTCATAAAGCTGTCACTTTTGTCTGTTTTTCTGTCTGTGAGAAACATAAGCGAGCCAGGTGTGTTGGCATACACAAGTCACAGTTCTTGAGAGATTGATGCAGAAGGATTGTGAATTCAAGGCCATCCTGATCTGTATAGGAAGACTGAAAGAATCAGGTTTGGGTCCTGCATGGTAGCCTTCATTCCCAAAACTCAGGAGGCAGAGTCAATTGGATCGTTTATGAGTTTGAGCTAGCCTGGTCTACATAGCCAGTTCCAGGTCAGCCAAGGCTACATTTCAAGTCCTTGTCTCAAGGAACTAAAAAAGATTCAGAAACTACTTCCATATGATATGACCTGCCTGCTTTCAGCATTTTGTAACAGATGGCACAAAATAGATGTGCTCATGACTGACCAGCAGGATATCATCTGGAAAGCTGACAACATCAAAGGACACCCAGAGGAAGGCTTCCATCTGACCTTGTAGAGGCAATAGCTAGAACATTACTGTTTGTCTTTGAAGGAACCAGAGTGGAATTTGCAATGATTAATGTGTCAGTGGCACCAGAATAGTGCCAGCTTAGGGACAGGAAATCCCTGCCATACAGTACAGAAAACTAATACCCCATAAAAGTTGTCTGTACTTGTAGTTCAAAGGAAAGTGGCAATAAGCAATGGCCAAACTTGCCAACCAGCGAACACTGAGCATGTGCCTCAGAATCCCCAGGAAGCCTGTACAGTAGGCAACGGGAGAAAAAGCAGCTTGGTTCCTGGGCTCCCAGTGTGTGTATGTGTGTGTGCCATACTCTTATACCTGGATGGATGGGACAAGATTACATCATCTTTCCTGCCATAGGGTCCCACAGTACAGCCCAGTTATAGAAGCTGAAGTAACAATTCAAGTCTGGTATATTCCGGGGTCTCTACAACAGTCGCTCTCAACCTGTGGGTTGTGACCCTTTAACAAGAGGTTGCCTAAGATCACTGATAAACACAGAACATTAGGATTCATAACAGCAAAATTACAGTTATGAAATAGCAAGGAAAATAAATTTGTGGTTGGGGCTCACCACAACATGAACTGGAGTATTTGGAAGGTTGAGAACCACTGCTCTAGAACAACTGGATGTGGGTGGCAAATGGGTTTTTTAGATTGGCTTAGATGATACAGACTAGATAACCCAACAGCTTTGGAGAGGCTAGTGCAACCTCCACCAGCTCTGTAGAAAATACCTTGTTTTAGTGGTGCCTCGTGGTTTATTACTGTAGTCTTAGCATTCAGGAGACAGAGACAGGAGGGTTATATGTTCCCCAGGTTAGAAACTTGAGTTTCAACCTATTTTTTTTCTTTGTTCTATAGCATTGGTTCAGCCTTGTTGAGTGAGACATCTCAAGATTACACTACTACAGTGGGGAAGCTAGCTGGGATGTTGGGTTGCTCACCCTTGGAATGTATTAAATCATGATGGAAGCCAGTCAGACACTTAACTGGGGCTTGGACAGCATGTTTCATCTTTCTTTACCTGCTTTTCTTCTATAAGGCAAAGGTATTGCTGCAATCTTTTGGCCTTACCTTTTTGTCTTTTCTTGCCTTCTCCCTTTTTCTTTCCTTAAATTAATAGGTTCTCCCAAATGGAAACTTGGAACATTGACTGATACAGGGTTGCTATAGTAAGTTCTAACTTAATGTCCTGGCATCCATTTTAAAGGTAGTTTGATTCCTCATACCAGAAGCAGATTGTAGTCATCCATGGTGCAGTTACTGCTTTCCACCTACTCCTAGTGTCTCAATATTGTCTATCTAGTTGTCTATGCTATATGACTGCCTTCTATGACCTCCCTTCACATGGAATGATAAGATACACTTATTGGTCCTATACCCTGCATGAATTGTTTAGATGCTCACAATAGTCACAGTCTTAGAGTATTACTTATAGAGCTAGAAATCCACTTATCAGAATTCCTTGAGCAAACATGGATGCCAATTAAGGATTTAGTCCCTCAGAACGTTGATATCCTCTCTACCCATGAATAATAAAATGTTTCTGTGTCATGTCCTTTGTTGTGCTACCTCCTCAGGGCCACAGTTGAACCTAACTCATCCTAATCAGATCATGACTCTCTTGGTAAGAAACTGGTTATGGTACAGAACCATCTGGACACTTCATCATCTTTCAGTTGCTATGACCTTAGATCAACTTAAAAGGATTGATTTTGGATGTTTTAATCTGTGGTTCCTTGTCCTGTTGCTTTTTTGACGTTACCATGGTAAGAATATGTAATGGAAGAGGAGGCCAGGGCCCTAGTATCCCCTTCAAAGAGCATAACCCAATGATTTCCCTTCTTTCTACCAGGCCCTGCCTTATCAAGATTCCCAATAGTGCCATCAGCTGAGGACCAAGCCTTCAACACAGGGGCCTTTGGGGGCCAGTCCAGATCCAGACTGCAATTGGTAGGAACCAAGCCACTCACCAGAAGAAAGAAGTCTCCTGTGAGAGGTACACCATAAAGTTCCATGACTCTCCCCTGGGCTCTTCAGGCCAGGGCTGGAATTTATAGCCTTTCCAGGGAGACTTCAAGAGTGGATTAGAGGAGAGTGACAGTGGGATGCTATATCAAGGAAAAGCAAGCTCTTACTAGTAATGGTTAGTCGAAAAGGTGGGGTGTGGGACTGTGGCGTCTGCACCACGAACAAGTCCAAGGTATCAGGAAATGAAAGACAAGACATCCAACCGTTTGTGCTAAGAGAATGTGTCTGCTGCCTTTATTGCCAGGGGAATGCATGTGTGTATGTGCCACACCTGTGTGTCTTTATTGCAAGTGCTAAGAGGTCTCTCTCTTGTAGAGAGGGAGCAGCCTTATATACAGGCTTACAGGACAGTGGAAAAACCCCAGGTGGATGAGATCGTGTTCTCATCGTGCTAGATGTTGATGTTATTGGGGGCAAAGTGGGGCCAGTAAGCCAGGACTAGAAAACAGGATGCACTTGGACTGGAAAACAGGATGTACCTGTTGACTGACCAGTGACTCACAGATACCCTGTTGGGGCTGGGACCCAACATGGGACTAAGGGTGAGAAAACACTTTTTTTTTTCAATATATGTTTTTATTTAAATTAGAAACGTGAATGCTTCACATGTCAGTCCCAGCTCCCTCTCCCACCCCTCCTCCCTTACCCCTCTACCAGCCCCCCAATCCCCACATCATTTCCCAGGGAGTGTGAGGCCCTCCTTGGGGGGGATCTCTAAAGTCTGTCATTTCACCCAGGGCAGGACCTAGGCCCTTCCCCATGTGTCCAGGCTGAGAGGGCATCCCTCTATTTAGAATGGGCTCCAAAAGATCATTCATAAGCCATGATAAACACTGATCTACTACCCAAGGCCCCAGTGATTTTCTGTGGCCACCTCCCTGGCACTACATTCATGGAGTCTGGATCAGTCCCCTGTTGACCTCTCAGCCATCAGTCTGGGATTCAAGAGCTCCCCTTTATCCGGTCAGCTGTCTTTGTGGGTTTCACCATCATGGTCTTGACCCCTTTGCTCATCACTCCTCCATCTCTGTCACTAGGTTCCAGGAGTTCAGTTCAATGTTTAGCTGTGAGTATCTGTCTCTGCTTCCATCAGTCCCTGGATGAAGGTTCTAGGATGGCATATAGGGTAGTCATCAACCCTATCATCAAGGAGGGGCTATTAGTGTACTCTCTCCACTATTGTTTAGTTTGACAGTTAGTGTTATCCTTGTAGATCTCTGGAGATCTCACTAGTGTCAGCTCTCTCCTCAAGCCTATAATGACTTCATCTATTATGGCATCTCTCATCCAGCTTTCCTCTATTCTTACCTTGACTCAACCTTCCTGCTCCCCCATGCTTTTTTCTCCCCTCCTCTTATCCCCCTCTCTTTTTCTTGGTTCCCTCTCCCCTCCCCCAATGTTCCCAATCTGCTCAGATCTTGCCTCATTCCACTTCTCTGGGGGTATCATGCATCTCTCTTGGGAACCTCCTTGTTTCCAATGCTCACTGGCACTGGGATTGTAGGCTGACACTCCCCTGGTCCATATATAAAATCCGTATATGAGTGAGTACATACCATGTTGGTCTTTTTGTGTCTGGGTTACCTCACTCAGGATGGTTTCCTCTAGTGCCATCCATTTGCCTGCAAATTTCAAGATTCCATTGTTTTTCTCCGCTGAATAGTACTCCATTGTGTAAATGTACCACATTTTCTCTATCCACTCTTCAGTTGTGGGGCATCTAGGTTGCTTCCAGGATCTATCTACCACATATAATGCTGCTATGAACATAATGGAACAGACATCCTTGTTATGTGAATGGGCATCTTTTGGGTATATGCCTAAGAGTGGAATTGCTGGGTTTTGTGGTAGACTCAGATCCATTTTCCTGAGGAATCTCCATACTGATTTCCATAGTGGCTGTACTAGTTGGCACTCCCACCAGCAGTGGAGGAGTGTTCCCCTTTCTCCACATCCTCTCCAGTACAAGCTGTCATTGGTGTTTTTTATTTTTGCCATTCTGACAGGAGTAAGATGATATCTCAGAGCTGTTTTGATTTGCATTTCCCTAACAGCTAGTGATGTTAAGCACTTTTTCAAGTGTCTCTCGGCCATTTTTTACTCCTCTATTGAGAATTCTCTATTTAGTTCAGTCCCCCACTTTTTAATTGGATTCTTTGGTGTTTTGGAGACTTGCTTCTTGAGTTCTTTGTAAATTTTGGAGACCAGTCCTCTGTCAGATGTGGGTTAGTGAATATCTTTTCCCAATCTGTGGGGTGTCTTTTTGTCTTGCTGACTGTGTCCTTTGCCTTACAGAAGCTTCTCAGTTTCAGGAGGTCCCATTTATTAATTGTCGATATCAGTGTTTGTGCTACTGGTGTTATGTTCAGGAAGCAGTCTCTTGTACCAATTCGATCAAGGGTACCTCCCACTTTCTCTCCTAAGAGGTTCAGTGTGGCTGGATTTATGTTGAGGTCTTTGATCCATTTGGACTTAAGTTTTGTGCATGGCGATAGACATGGATCTATCTGCAGTCTTCTACATGCCAGCATCCAGTTATGCCAGCACCATTTGTTGAAGTGATATTTATCCAGAAAAATTATCCATTTCCTTTAAATTTTCAAATTTTGTGGAGTACAGCTTTTTAAAATATGACCTAATGATTCTCTGGATTTCCTCAGTGTCCATTGTTATGTCTCCCTTTTCATTTCTGCTTTTGTTAATTTGCATGTTCATACTATGCCTTTTGGTAAGTTTGGATAAAGGTTTGTCTATCTTGTTGATTTTCTCAAAGAACCAACTCTTTGTTACATTGATTCTTTGTATCATTTTCCTAGTTTCCCTCAATTTAATTATTTCTTGGCATGCTCCTCTGGGGTGAGTTTGCTTCCTTTTTTTCTAGAGCTTTCAGTTGTGCTGTTAATTCTCTAGTGTGACTATTTTCCAGTTTCTTCATGTGGGCACTTAGTGCTATGAACTTTCCTCTTAGCAATGCTTTCCAAGTGTCCTATAAATTTGGGTATGTTGTGTCTTCATTCTCATTGAATTCTAGGAAGTCTTTAATTTCTTTTTTTATTTCTTCTTTGACCCAAGAGTGGTACAATGGTGTATTATTCAGTTTACATGAGTTTGCAGGGTTTCTGTGGTTTGTGTTATTGTTGAATTCTAACTTTAAGGCATGATGGTCTGATAAGATACACGGAGTTATCCCAATTTTTTTTACCTGTTGAGGTTTGCTATGTTGCCATGTATGTGGTCGATTTTTGAGAAGGTTCCGTGAGGAGCTGAGAAGAAGGTATATTCCTTTGTATTTGGATGGAGTGTTCTATAGATGTCTGTTAAACCCAATTGTGTCATAACTTCTATTAGGTCCTTTGTATCCTTGGTAAGTTTCTGTCTTGTGGTCCTGTCTAGTGGTGAGAGTGAGGTGTTGAAGTCCCTCACTACAAGTGTGTGAGGTTTTACATGTGCTTTGAGTTTTAGTAATGTTTCTTTTACAAACGTGGATGGCTTTGTATTTGGGGAATAGATGTTCAGAATTGAGACTTCATCTTGATTGATTTCTCCTGTGATGAGTAACCTCCTTCATCTCTTTTGATTGATTTTAGTTTAAAGTCTAATTTGTTAGATATTAAGATTGCTACCCCCACTTGTTTCTTGGGTCCATTTGATTGGAAAATCTTTCCCTAACCCTTTACTCTGAAATAACCATAACCTCTGTCTTTGAAGCTGAGGTGTGTTTCTTGTATGCAGTAGAAGGATGGATTCTGTCTTCGAATACCTTCTGTTAACCTGTGTCTTTTTATGGGCAAGTTAAGACCATTAATATTGAGGGAAATTAATCACCATTGATAGCTCATTTTTGTTTGTTTTGGAATGGTTGTTGGTTGTATGTGGATTTCCACCACTTTTTCTTTTGACTGTTGGTAAAGTGGGATTATCTATTGCCTATATTTTTCTGGTAGTAGTTAACTTCCTTGGGTTGGAGTTTTCCTTCCAGAGAAAACACTTTTCTTTTCTTTCTTTCTTTCTTTCTTTCTTTCTTTCTTTCTTTCTTTCTTTCTTTTTTTTTTTTTTTTTTGGTTTTTTACGAGACAGGGTTTCTCTGTATTGTTTTTTGGAGGCTGTCGGTCCAGCCCAGCCTCGAACTCACTGAGATCCACCTGCCTCTGCCTCCCGAGTGCTGGGATTAAAGGCGTGTGCCACCACCGCCCGGCCCAGAGAAAACACTTTTAAAATCATAATACATGAACATTTTCTTAGTGGGAACTGCAGACAGAGCACTGGAAACCTTTGAACACCCTTACTTCACACTCAACGTGTGCAGGTGGCACTGCTATTAGCAGTTTCTTATTTACTTCCAGAACCTCAAAGCATTTATTCCTATAGAATCCCACACCTTCAGCAGAGCATGGCCAGTGCTGGGCCATGGCTGAGGTGAGGCAACATTTTTATTCTGATGAACTCTTGTATCACCTCATAATTTTCATTGACATATAATTATACATCTTTATGGAGTGCAGTATGATGATTTCGTATATTTATGTAGTGTACATCAGTAAGTCAGGGTAGTTAGTTGGTATCTCCAGCTCCTTAAATATTTATAAAAATATACAATAAGTTGTCACAAACCACAGCCACCCTATTGTACTGTATAACACTGGAACACATTGCGCCTCTCTGTTTTCAAACCTCTTAATGCTCTGGTGACTGCTTCTCTCTGCTTCCACGAGATACATATATGATTGAAAACTTTTAGTATTAAGTCCCTAGATTGATTGATTGGTTGACTGATTAATTAATTTATCTGGAAACAGGGTCTCATTGTATAACTGGCTGGCCTTGAACTCAACGATCCACCTATCTCTGCTTTCCAAGTGCTGGGATTAAAGGTATCTGTCACTGCACCTAGATCCTGAGACTAATCTTAATGTTGCACTACTGAAAAAACAGGTATCTTAGGTGTTGGGAGGTTTGACTTGAGGGTTTCCTAGTAATTGGGTGATTGATTGATCTGTTGGTTAATTGTATTTAGCAGTATTTGTGATTGGCACATTTTTTGAGGCAAATACTCTAACACCGATCTATATTCTTGGCCCTTGACTTTCATTCAGTGAATGGATTTGCCTTTCTAAATGTCTTTCCTCAACAATATTAAGAGTACGTTATCAGACCTCCAAAGTTTCTCAGTTCAGGTCCCCCAAAGTTCTAAAGCACCTGTATCAGGAAAAGCTGAGTGTTCTGGGTCTCTGTAGCATCTCAGTTAGCTGACCTTGCTCTACTCTAATAGATTCTTCAAGCATCATTCATGGTGGCTGACATATGTGTAGAGACTTATCTGTAATATATTATTGGATATATTCTCTGCTTGTTATTCTTTTGTTTGTTTTCTTGCTCATTTTTCTCCTTCCCTTCCTTCTACTGGAATTCTGCTTGTCTGACAGTACCTTTTTTCTTTTTTGGTTTTCTTTTGTTTATTTGTAGTGACTTTCCTTAAATATCAAATTATATTTAATTTTTGTCATAGAAATCACTAAACATACAAAAGGAAAAAGATTAATGCAAGGAAGTTGCTAATGTCTAACAGGAAATAAATGTGCCCTTAGATAAGGAGAGAATGCATTCAAAAGGACTTTCTGAAACAAAGAGCCTGGATCAAAGCTGAGGGTCGTCTTTGGGTTTTGTTTTTTGTTTGTTTCTTTGTTTGTTTTTGGGTTTTTTTCAAGACAGGGTTTCTCTGTATTGTTTTGGAGCCAGTCTTCTTTTATTTAAAGTCTTAAAAATTTATTACTAGGGGTGAGGTACATGTATGCCAGGTCTTTTGGCATATGAAGGTCAGAGGACAACTCTTAGGAGTCAGTTTTCTTCCATTGTGGACTCCAGAGATTGAGCCCTGGTCCTCAGGCTTGTATTTTACCTGCTAAACCATCTTGTTGGCCTTGGCAGTCTTCTATTAGAGGGATAATTAAATTATTGGGAGTAAAGATGAGTCTAAGGTACAACAATAGAATCCAATTGAACACCCTGATATTAACCCACACACCTACCAACACCTGATTTTTGACAAAGAAGCTAAAAATTATATAATGGAAAAGAAGAAAGCATCTTCAGCAAATGTTGCTGGCAGAACTGGATGCTGGTGTGTAGAAGACTACACATAGATCCATGTCTATTTCCATGCATAAAATTTAAGTCCAAATGAATCAAAGACCTCGACATAAATCCAGCCACACTGAACCTCTTAGAGGTACCCTTGAATGAATTGAAACAGGAGACTACTTCCTGAACATAACACACTGAGATTGACAATTAAATAAATGAGACCTCCTGAAACTGAGAAGCTTCTGTAAGAAAAAGCACATAGTCAACAAGACAAAACAGTAGCCCACAGAATGGGAAAAGATATTCACCAACCCCACATCTGACAGAGGGCTGATTTCCAAAATATACAAAGAAGTCAAGAAGCTAGTCACCAAAACACCAAATAATTCAATTAAAAAGTGGGGTATAGAACTAAATAGATAATTCTCAATAGAGGAATCTAAAATGGCTGAAAGGCACTTAAGTGTTAAACATCCTTGACCATTCAGGGAAATGCAAATTAAAACAACTCTGAGATACCATTTTACTCCTGTCAGAATGGCTAAAATAAAAAACACCAATGACAAGTTTATGCTGGAGAGGATGTGGAGAAATGGGAGCACTCCTCCATTGCTGGTGGGAGTGCAAATTTGTACAGCCACTTTGGAAATCAGTATGGCAGTTCCTCAGGAAAATGAGAATCAGTCTACCACAAGATCCAGCAATTCCACTCTTAGGCATATACCCAAAAGATGCACATTCATACAACAAGGACCTCTGTTCCACTATGTTCAGAGCAGCATTATTTGTAATAGACAGAACCTGGAAGCAACCTAGATGCTCCCCAACTGAAGAATGGATGGAGAAAATGTGGTACATTTACACAATGGAGTACTGATATTCAGCATAAAAAAAAGCAATGGAATCCTGAAATTCACAGGCAAATGGATGAAAGCTACTGGATGAAGGCTCTAGGATAGCATAGAAGGTGGCTGCCAATCTCATTATCAGGAAAAAGCATTTAAGGTAGCCTCTCAACTATTGCTTATATTGTCAGTTGGGGTCATCCTTGTAGATCTCTGGACATTTCCCTAGTGCCAGATACCTCTTTAAACCTATAATGGCTCCCTCTATTATGGTATCTCCTTTCTTGCTCTCCTTTATTCGTCACCGACTCAATCTTCCTGCTCCCTCATGTCCTCCTCTCCCCACCTCTTTTCCTCTTCTCTTTCTCCTAACTCCCTCTCCCCTCCCCAAATGCTCCCAATTAGCTGGTGGAAGCAGAAGCAGACACCCACAGCTAAACACTGAGCTGAACTCCTGGAATCCAGTTGCAGAGAGGGAGGAGTGATGAGCAAAGGGGTCAAGACCAGGCTGGAGAAATTCACAGAGAGAAATTCACAGAAACAGCTGACTTGATCAAGGGGGAGCTCATGGACCCCAGACTGATAGCTGGGAAACCAGCATAGTACCGACCCAGACCCCCTGATTGTGGGTGTCAGTTAGGAGGCCTAGGCAATCTATGGGGCCTCTAGTATTGGATCAGTATTTATCCTTAGTATATGAATGGACCTTGGGAGTCCATTTCACATAGAGAGATATTCTCTCAGCCTAGACACATTGGGGAGGGCCTAGGCACTGCTCTACTTGATATGACAGACTTTGAAGATTCCCCCATGGAAGGTTTCACCCTCCTCCCTGGGGAGCAGAAAGGGGATGGAATAAAGGTTTGGTGGGGAGGAAGGGAGGGAGATGAAACTGGGATTGACATGTAAAATAAGCTTGTTTCTAATTTAAATTAAAAGGAAAAAAAGATGAGTATAGAAGGAAATTATGTTGAAAACAACAACATTTAAAGAACATTTCAGAGTAGAGACAGGAAACCTCAACGTTCAGGAATTATGCACAACCTAAGCCACAGCCTGACCATGTGAACTGTTGAGCAGGGTGTGGAAATATGAGTTTGTAAATTGTGAGGTTTGGTGTAAAGTTTGGCAAGTCTAGAGACTTTGCAAAGGCCACAGACAATGTAGGATGTAGCTGCAATTGTTCCAAGAAAAACTTATCTCAGTTTGAAATGTTTTATTGTTCATAAAGCCATTTTATTATAACTATAACTGCTGAGAATAAACTTGACACCTAGAATCCTAGCAATTGATCAAGTATCAAGGTAACTTTATTGTGCCCATCACCTTCCTTTTCCTGTAACTTATGAAGTCAGTCACCTCTGGCTTCCATATCTTTTCTTTAAAAGTCCCATACAACCCAAGCCTTTCAGGAATACTTGGTCAGTCTGTTTACAATTTCCAAGACCAAAATAAATTTCTTTTTTCACTCGTTCAGCTTCTGAGCTTGAATAATCAACACCTGGCAAAGTTCAGTATTATGACATCTATCACTCAGGGTTAGGGATGCAGCTCACTTGGTAGAATGCTTGCCTAACATGCACAGGCCCAGGGTTCGATCACTAGCGTTACATAGGATAAGTATGTAGTCCCAGCACACTGGAGGTGGAGGCAGAAGGGTCAGAAATTCAAGGCCAGCCTAGTCTATGTGTCCACTCCCTTCTCTTTACCCCTCCCACAAATTTCAACTATTACCAACCTTATTTCTTCTAAATCCCAGCTGACTCAGTCCCCCACCAGCCACAAAATCACATTTTAATAGAACTGTGATATCATTTTATTCAACTGTCTAAGAATTTTTCTGCCTCAGATACATGACTGTTGTAATCAGAAGCTTTGTTCCCATTAGTGTTTTAAAATATGGAAAAGCTAATTATGATTAGCTACTGCTCTGTTGCTCTGAAGAAACACTTTGACCAAGACAGTTCTTATTAAAGAAAAACATTTAATTGGGATCTTGCTTAGAGTTTCAGAGGGTTAGTTCATGATTATCATAACAGGAAGAAGACAGGCATGGTGCTGGAGCAGTAACTGAGAGCTTGAGAACTGGGGCCTGGCATGGGCTTTTGAAACCTCAAAGGCCACCCCCCCCATGACATACTTCCTCCAACAAGCCACACCTATTCCAGTAAGATTACACCTCCTAACAATTCTCAAATAGTTCCACTTCTGGCAACTAGGCATTCAAATATATGAGCCTATGAAGGGTATTTTTATTCAAGCCACCACATTTATTTCCATATGTATGTGAGAACATTAGTGACTGAGGTTATGACTTCAGCTTTAGTAACTACAGATTTCCTTGCACTAACAGGCAAGTTTATCCTCTCTTACAGTATGGTCTGTAGAGTTAGAACAGTTGAAATAGAACTTAGACTCAGTTTTGCTGGGAAATATTGACTTCTCATTGGGGACCATTTGGGGTAACTAAACAGAATAAAAGCATGCCATCTCTGCATTCATTTTGTATGTCTGTCTCCAATATGACTGAGGGCATAGAGAAAAGTCGTTCTAAACCTGTAGTTGCTTTGAATTCCAGAAAAAAGAAAACCTTCAGGCACAAACTGTACCCTAGAAGAGGATAACCAGGCTGCTACAGGGTACAGAAGTGAGATCTTTCAAGAACTAGATTGAGTCCTTCAAGCAATGACAACAGTAAAAGTTTCACCGCCATCTTGCAGAGTCAGAACCAGACCATACATTGACCAGGGCTGCATAATTATGTATGTCCACATCAACGCCTTTAAAAGACTACATAATAAAATTCTACAGTGATTCTAGTACAATGAATGTCCTATGTAGCTATGACTAGAAAAGTGTAGAGTTGTATATCTAACCCTAAATATACAAAAGTTGAGTTAAAGGCATATGAGTTGGACATGTGCAAAGTGATCACTAGGTACTTTTTTCAGTTAGTTATTTGAGAAGTGTTTGGTGTAGTCCAGACTTTCTTTAACTTACTGTGTAGTCAAGAATAACTTTGAACTCCTAATCCTTTTGCTGGGATTGCAGGTGTATGCCACTACACCCAGCAAGTACCCTCCTTAGAGTGGTGTGTTTTATGTGCTTACACATGCACATACATGCATGTATATGTGTGTGATGCTGAGGAGGAAACCCAGGGCCTCAATGTGTTTTATCACTGAATTGCATCCCTACCTAGTATTCTCTTTTCTAAATTTTGTATCATACATGAACATGTGAACATATGAGTTGGCCAGTACAATTTTGATGTTTCTCTAGTCTGTGTACCATTCTGATATCAGGCAGCGTAGCCCAGCTGTCTCAGATGTGGCTGCCATCTACTGGCACTGATGCTGCATGTTTCATTGTGTAGCTTAGGTGCACTAGATATCAGGAATCAAGTCTGGGTAGTTTGTGCTATCCCCTGGGCTTGTGAGTGTTAAGTTCTGGAGGCCTGTCAACTCACAGATCCCAATTCTCACTTCAGAAGTAGAAGCTGAATTCATATAGAAAGGGTTTGTGTACTGCAGTGCTGACCATTGCTGACTTCACTGTATGTTTGATGGATTTATGTTCCTGAAGTAGACATTCTTCTAGAGAATGCAAAGCTAGTGTTCCAAAAAAGAATTGTTAGTGACACTAGCCCTTTCCTTCAATCCATTGGCATGCATATGTTCCTAATTGTATCATGCACATTCCCTTTTAAGTAGAGTTAATTAGACACCCCCAACACTGTGTCATCCTAAGGCTTGGACACTGGCCACCTAGGAGTGTATTAGCAAATACAGCTATTCTAATTTATCTAGAAAACAAAATTAAATGGAGATTTGCACATTAAAATGTTATTGACAAACTGTCATCTTTTAACCCAAAACAAGAATGTAAATGTATGCCTGGGAAGAAAATGAGGACAACTTAGTAATGCTAACATAATGCTGCCAATCATAATTGTTTTCTTCAGCTGCTGAATGCCATGGAAATAACTGCTTTTATCTGCTAAGGTTCTACAAGACTAGCTAGCCATTACTGTCATAAGTCTTTGTCATCTGAAGTTTTGATCCTTGTTTTACAATTAAATTCATGAAAATTTGACTCCAATGACTATTTTTCAAACTAGCTCTTTAAATGTCCATTCTCATGGTGTTTTGTGTAAAACTACCCAGCCATTGTCTGTTGCTGTTCTGTGAAAGAATACCTTTTAACAAATGCAATCCGAATAGGATTTAAACTTTTGTATTTTATATGTATGAATGTTTTGCCTTAGTGTAAGTGCACATGTATGCCTGGTACCTTGAGAGACCAGAAGGGTGGCAGATCTCCTGGAATTTGAGTCACAGATGGCTGTTAGCCACCACATGTGTGCTGGGAACTGACCTCAGGTATTCTGCAAGAGCAGAAAAAGCAGTGAGCTGCTGAGCCGTTCCCTAACCCTATGAACAGTATTTTAAAGACACTAAGACATCACCTATAGAACAGACAAAGTGAAACTTGGTAATGGACCCCAGGGAAGCCAGGCCCAAGGGCCATTCCTTTCATATCACTTAGCTGTTTGAATTCTGTTCTTCTCAAAATGTTTATAAACACTGATTCCTTGGCATCTGCTGCTCCTCACATTCTGCTCCTCTCCCCACATATCCTGCAATGTGTGACCAGAAAAGACAGCCCAAACAGATTTCATCCTGGTGACAAGGGACAGTCAAGACCAAACTACTTGACAGTTAACCAGGCATGTTCAGTCAGAATCAAGGTGAAGTCTTGCTTGGTGTGGTGGTACACACATGTGACCTCGATACATGGAGGCCGGCACTGGAGAAACATGAGTTTGAGGACAGATTAGGCCACACCGTGAGACCCTGTCTCAAGGGCAGCAACAAAATGTGAAGTCACTTGTGCTAGATTTCCACAAGTAAATAACACCAAGAGCAGAAGTGCTTTTTACATGTGTCTGATACCCAGTCCCTCCCACTGGAACTCAGTGTATCTGAAAGAATGGCTCCTGTAGAATTTATTTATTGCCTTGCCTTCCAGCCTTGACTTCTTGTTGTATTCTGTCTGCTCTAGAGTGCTACTTCTGCTTTCAGGCTTAAACAGCTGGCTTTTTACTTACGTGTTTCTGTCATTACCACCTGTCCCTTCTTGTATCCTAGTTTATCATTAGGCCAACTAGTCTGCAAAGCCAGATGAGCTGACACCCAAATTCCCTCAAGACTGAGATGTTTTTGAGTACAGGGGAGAATTGAAATAGGCTCTTTGAAGGTGTTTTTGCTAAAAAGCATAAACTCTTCAATTTGGCCCAGTATGGGTAACTAAATACAGGATAAAGGCCTGTCTTCACTCCTTCATTTTGAGTTTACCCATCCTTTGAAGGCACAAAGGTAAGTCATTGTTCTAACCCTGTAGTCATCTTGGATTCTGGGAAGTACAAAATATCGCAGAATGGACCACCCCAGAGATCAAGCACTTATTGATGAGGTGGAAAACAGCACCCGGAGCAGGAATAACATCCCCTATTCCAGTTACCTTATCCTCTCAAGCAATAATGACTTCTTCAGTCTACCTTGCATGCCAGGAGCTGGAAGGATGAGCAGGAGGGCTTCACCTTGACCTGAATACTGAGTTATGCACGCCTCTTGCCCTTAACCCCAGTTCTATTTAAACCTAAAGCTTGTGTCGGTGCCTGGAAGATAACTAAGGGTCATTAGAGTCTGTTATCTGCACTACTTCCTGAATGTGGGAAAAAAAAGGGCGGGGGATAGGACATAACTGCCCCTAGGTATGGTGGAGGAGAAAGTTTATTGTAGATAAAAGGGAGAGCATAGGTAGAGGCAGGGATATCTGGGAGAGTCCAGAGTGGTCATGTCCCTGAGCCATGTGAGGAGAGGAGGAAGGGAGAGGGGAACCAGGTACAGCAGCCATAAGGACAATAGTACAAAAGGGGCAGGTAATCAAACTGTCTGGATTATATAGGAAAGAGATTCTGAGGGCAGGGCAGCCCAGCCCTTGGCTAAAGAGTTCAGGGTAGAGGGTGGGGGTATCCCAGCCATACCCTGTAGCAGGCAGAGACAGGGTACTGGGAGAACTTTGCAGCCTGGTCCAATTTGATATGTCAAATAGTCACCTGGGCTATTTGTCTCAGGTTTGAAACTTAACATCTCAGCCATTTGGTTGATAATAAATGATAAGGGGTGATGTAATCGTCTATAACTACTTCCTGTTAACATTGGGATATCGTTGGAGACCCGAAAAAGTTGGAATGCTGGCCAAGTCTGGGAAGAACTGGCTGTTTCATTTACTGTTTAGGCTCTGCAGGACCTTCTGGGGCTAGATACATGGAGGCAGCAGTTGGAGCAATTTGCAATCTTTAATTTGGCACTCTGTTGGAATAGATATATATTAGGGACAGAAGATAAATTTAGAGTTTAGTGGAATTTTTTTTCTTATATGTACATTTGAAACTTCCAGGCTCAAGGTCCTGACAGTTGTGGGAAGACCAGGGAGAGAGTCCGCCCTCAGGAATAGGTAGGTGGGGAAACAAGGCTGTTGATTGACAGTACTTAACTGGAGTCCATCTGACCAGCTACCTGAATCCAAGTCAATTCTCTGAAGCTTACAAGAGTTTTTGAAGTTTACAAAAAGATAACAGTTACAGATGTGTTAGCATTACCACTGTTTGTAATGTGTATCAAAATCCACATTGTAGAACAGGCAGTAGACTCACACCTGTGAGTCATAGTGAAAGCTTGGAGACCCAAAGATGATTCTGGGTTAAAAGCATGAGCACTCTTTTCAGAGGACCAGATATACACTAGACAGAGATGGTTTTAGCACAATGAGAAACACTTTTAAGTCTGTGCTTAGGAGACAAACAAAGGAAATTTAAAATCTTGGGTTTAAGGCTACGATAATCGCCACACTTTCCAGAGCTAGATTAGTAGCTTATCAGAGCTCTGTTGAGTGTTAGATCCTGGACTTTCAAAGTCTTAATAAGGGAGAGCAATCTGAAACATACTTTCATTTTTTACAAATTACATTTACACACCTTAAAACGCTTTCTTAGACCCTTACAACTTAAGCTTTAACATTCTCAGACCTTTATAACTTGCATTTATATACCTTAGAACACATATATAAACTTGAAACTTTTTTTCCAATCATTTACCATGAGACACAGATAGTTGATTACTAACCGAAGTCATTATAAAGCAGGTTCCTTAAATAAAGGGATAGTAAAAAGTTGCTTTTTTTTTTTCAAGACAGGGTTTCTCGGTGTAGCTGTGGCTATCCTAAACATCCCTCTGTACACCAGTCTGGCCTTGAACTCACAGTGAAAGACCTGAAGTCATCAGGCTGAATACCCCGTGACATCTTGAGCTTAATAACCAGACAGTTGGATGCAAACTGCAAGAGGTTTATTGTTCACACAGCTGAGAGCCCCAGGCTTTAGGACAGTTTTCTTTTTATGTACATAATTTTGGCAAGCAAAGCAATAGGGGTATTGTAAAAAGCGGAGCCACTGCAGGTGCAGATCTGGGCAAACAATAGGGGATTGTAAGAAGCACGGGCATAACTCATCCTTCCTGGAGAAACCACAAGGTCAAAATTAAACTTATCTTAACAGCCTGCTGGTGTCCTGCATCAGCACTCTGGACCAGATGTTCTTTTCAATTCAACCTTGTTCCCTGTCTAGAGGGAGGGACCTTGGGGAATTTTCCACTGAGACAACCTTCTGAGTCTCAATAAGAGGGGGGATGTTTGAGGTTTTTCAACAGAATCTGCCTTCCTCTGCCTCCCAAGTGCTGGGATTAAAAATGTGTACCGCCACTGCCTTTCTCAACTGGAAGTTTAGAAGAGTGAGGCTTGAAGCCTGATTTTTACATATGAAGAGAACTGAGAAGGCAGCTGAAGCCTTGGTTGTTAAACTGACAAAGCCATCACTAGCCTAGTCATCAACACCATCAGAGATCTGAGAAGGATAAATTTCACCTGAGTAAGCAGCAAGTACGGACCAAGCAGCTTCTGAATCTATTAAAAATTCTATTTAAATTTTTTAGTTTAAATTTTAAATTCTGATTCTATTTTTTTAAAAAAATTATTAAAAACAGAGACTTACTGGGTACCTGGACAATCACCCTAGGTTCCTCCGTGGTCACTGGGAGCTGAGGGGTCCCAGAATGGCATCAGTTTTGGGCCATCAGGCCCAGAAGACCCAAGAGGCTTTCCTGTGGAGGAGATCTTAGGGGTGCTTCCAGGAGCTAGTAGTTCCTTCCTATCATGGGGAGCTTTTATAGTAAGCATTTTAAATGTCATACTCAGCAGATCTCTGCAGAGTTTGAGGACCTTCTGTCTATTGAGTATATCAAAACTAAACAATCTTTGCTTCTTTCTAAACAAGTTATTTGTTTAGGGCCAAATTTTGTTACAGATTTTATAGATTCTTAATCACACCCAATGAATTTACAAATCTTGAGATAAAGACTGTTTACACAATAGTCTTAAAAGATTTCTTGAGAGCAAAACTCAGAAATCATAGAGATAAAAGACTTAAGAGTGGAAAATTGTAAAGTCTTGGAGATAAGAGACTTTGGGATCATTTGCTTGTGCAGTGGCGAAATTTTTGCAATCTTTAAGAATCTGGAACTGGAATGAGCCTTCTCTGGGCATCAAGTTATACTGAGGCCAGCCATTTTCAGTAAGAACAAGGCTTTAGGAAAATCTTGAAGCATCCACAGGCCTGCATGATACCATAAGACTCAGGCAGGCAAAAGACACCCACAGGGCTGTCAAAAGGATCCACAGGCCTGCTTGATTTGTAGTCAGTGTCATTATGAGCAAGTATATGGTGGAGAAATGGTAGAGAAAGGGGCAGAATGGTTCATGTGCTGTCATAGGAGGCAGTTCTGAAGAAGTAAGGATGGTGAGGAATAGGCTGGTATGTGCAGCCTGCTTGCCACCCAGGACCAGAGTGACATCCAGGCCTAGGCTACTGCCTAGGGCCATGTCTGGGTCTGTGATTGACTTTCATAATCCATGTTTCCACCAAGTCCACGAGGATA